TGTGTGTGTGTGTGTGTGTGTGTGTGTGTGTGAGAGAGAGAGAGAGAGAGAGAGAGAGAGAGAGAGAGAGAGAGAGAGAGAGAGAGAGAGATTTCAGGGGACGGCGAGGAGCTGTTGGATATTGATCAGGGTCGATCAGACATAACTTCTGATTGTTGCGTGTTTCTCGGCTGGTTTGCCTGTATGCTGTTGTTTCACTGTTGTTAATGTCATCACTTTTCAAGGAGAGCAGGGATACGAGCTTGCTACCTACCTTGGGCACACTATCGTCGATCCTGTACCCAGCTTGTTCACTTTCAAGATCTCCGATAATGAGTTGACGGCCTTGGCTGGGGTGGGTAGGGGTACTTGACATTTCTTTTTCTTTTCATGTGCCAACTGCATTGCAGCAGGATGCATAAGCCAACCAATACCTTATTGGTGGTTTTCTCTAAATGGCATGGTTGTCAACCGGACATCCGGATCGGGATCCAGACGGTCCGGTCTGGATGTCCGGATCCTGTGTCCGGTTTGAGGGGTCCGGTTGGGCCCCGTTTCGAGAAAATTTGAATTTTTTTTGGGGGTCCCCAGGCGATTTTCCAGTGCCTGGTGGACACCCGGAAATTGTTGCTGCAGTTTTTGGCGCACCTTTGGGCCAACCGGACCGGCCCTGAAGGGCCTGTACTTGCAATCTTGAGTGAGCTTCAGCGGGCCAAGGAGAATCGGTTGTGTGTGTGTGTGTGTTGTCATATTCGCTATACACTCAAAAAAAGCACAACTGTGCCAGACTGTTTCGTCGGACTTTCACCGACTTATCAGGAGGTTGAACCCCGACAGTCTGCCCAGGATTCATTTGACTGATGGATAAGGACTCACAACATTGCCCAGAGTTAGCGACACCCCTGAGGAAAGTGGTGTGTGTGTGTGTGTGTGTGTGTGTGTGTGCATGACACTGTGTGTGTATGTGAGTGTGTTCAAAATAAGTCGGATAATACAGCTACAGCGGCGTGTCCGTTTTTTTTTTTTTTTTTTTTTTTATATCCGGACCTGCTCATTCATAACCCTGTCTCTTATACACATCTAGATGTGTATAAG